GTTCTGGGGCAGCATAGACAGGTCTTCTCTGTGTTAGAGTTTTACTCCCTACAGGGTGTACTTTGAGGGTTTGTGACTGCAGACCGTTTACATGCAGAAAAAACTTCATAACACACAAGGGGACGGGTGATAACCAGAAAAGCATTTCATGGGCCCTTTAAATCTAATTTAATAATTGTTTTTCCCTTTGTTCCCTTCAAGGTTTCCAAACAATGTCCTCTTCACCAGTGCTTCTGGGGAGCTCTGGAAAATGGTGCGCATCGGGGGGCAACCTTTAGGATTCGGTGAGTTTTATTTGTGAAAATATTTTTGTTTAATTTTCTATCCAATGTTTTTCACCTCCAAAAAAATACTGAGGTAAAAAAAAACACGGATTTAAGTAACAAGCTAAAATATTGGAAAGGTGAGGTTGTTGATTTTTTTTTTTTTATGTTGAGAACCACTGCTTTACTGTCTCTGTCTCTATTAATTGTTCACACTTGTAACGTTTAATAATCAGAAATATGGCAAATGATTGTTTTCCTACAGATGAGTGCGGCATCGTGGCTCAAATATCTGAACCTCTGGCAACGGCTGACATTCCTGCTTACTACATAAGTACCTTCAAGTTCGACCACGCCCTGGTAAGAGATTCACTCTCAATGCAGTGAATGTAATCAATACTGTGTATCTCCTGTGGAGCTGCATCAAGTACATTAACCTATAAGTAGAGAGAGAGACAATAAATATTTGACAACAACTTAATTGTTTTTTCAGCAATATGTCAACCTTTGGATGGTTTTAGGTTCTGAAATGTTAGGATTTGGTGGTTTTTGTTGTCTTACACTATAAGAAATATAATCTTTTTGGATTGTGGCATTGATTTTTAGAAAGGTTTAGATGTTTACTGAGTACAAGTAATACTGACTTTTAAAAACAACTTGAATTGCTCAGGGTTAAGAACACTTTTGCAAAATCTGTGTGACATTAACATTAGAGGAACTAGGTCAATTTAAAAAAAAAAAAAAAAAGTATCTTAATTAATAAAATGTCAACGTCAGAAAACATTTATTCATAAAATCATACTCCCAATTTTCTAGCGATTCTTTTTTATTACTTAAAAGATTTTAATACCAATATAACCTTAAATTAAATGTATTAATTCAATGAATTTAAGACTTTTTAAATATCCTGGGACCTCTGGATTATCATTAGTTGTAGACCTGAAGTTAAAGGGGACCTATCATGCGAAATGCACTTTTTGATGTCTTTATACATAAAGATGTGTCCCCGGTGTGTCGGGGAACTCACGC